TCACATTTGATCTCGGTGTAGAAGCGGATTCGGCCGAACTTACCATAGGACTGTTGGAATTTTCAGATATGAGTTGACAATCTTTCACCACATGGCCAGTTTTGCCACACCGGAAACAAGCACCAATTGCACGGTAACAGGCACCTTTATGTTGTTGGAGCTTTGGCCTGTTTCATAGCTCCTAAATTGCCTTCAGTCATCAAGGCTCTGTCAAGTACATCCACATACTTGGGCAATTTGAATACACCAACACGATCGAACATATCTAAATCTTTCTGGCCTTTTTGTAATCTGTGTCCACCATACGTGGAGGAAAACAAGATAATTCTGTGAACTTGGCCTCATATTCGGCCACAGACATATCACCTTGTTTTAATTGCTCAAATTCTGACACCTTGCGATCCCAGAAACATTGAGGAAAGTACTTTTCGAAAAACATTTCTTTGAATTGGCTCCATGTTAATGTCCTATTGCTTTCACATACCAATATCCACCAACGACGAGTTTCTTCTTTCAAAGGTAGCCAACAGTACTTTCTGAGTTTTCAGTGCATGAAAAGACTTCAAACAGTTTCTCAGTTTCTAACATCCACGTCTCGGCTTTCAATGGCTCAATTCCACCCAAAAAAGTCGATGGCTTCATCTTATTAAATTTCTGAGTCAAACTGATTATATCATTATTTACCAGCTCTACTTGTATCGGTGAGGGCAGAGGTTGTTGTCTCTGTTGTTGTTGTTGCCTCATGGATTTGGTTAAGGCTTCAAGCATTCTTTCCATTTAGTCCATCCGGCATCGGAGGACTCAGTAACATCATCACTTCTTGTCCATTCCATTTCTATAAGTAAACAGAACGATAATAAACATAGGAAATAGGTTCTTGCCATTTTCACAATATTCAGTTTCAGTTCATTTCATTTCAGATTCATATGCTCATGTTTTCAGTTCATATGTTCACAGAAATTAACACACGCACTTACACATGCAGACATAATGTCCCTAATTCTTTTCTAGGACATCCTATAGCTCATATGGACTCGTGTGTGCGGTATAACTCGTGCTCTGATACCACTCTATCACAACCCAAATCCGTTCCTATAGGTTTAACATCGTAACCGACCAGTAATCCAAGGATTACCAAAGACCTCTAAATAGATTAACAAAATAAAGGGGCTAGCAGAAGCAAATATATGAAAATACAATGTCCATAGAGCTGTGCAGACATACATGGGACAAAATTTGAAACTTTATTTATATATATGCGACGTCATATATACTTCAGTCTTACGTCATTGCCTTTATAGACAAGCCAAAATGGAACTTAGCTCAATATACAGATAAAACAAAAGAAAACAAAAGTATAAGACTTCATCACAAAACTTTGACCACAAGGACTTTTAAGAAGCTCCTCATGAGGCACGATGGTTGACTTGATAAAACAGAACTCCAAGCAATCGTCACTAAGCCTGGTCATACATCTGATCACCAATATACATAATTAATAGAGTGAGCTGGAGTTTAGTGAATAACAACAGAGTAAAGGTTTTATAAATTATGTCCATAACAGATTCAGAAATCAGAGTTTAGATTAAAAACAGATTCATATTCATATTCAAATTTCACAAATAATCATACGTAGTACATCCATTAGCGCTAACAAATCAGATGGCTCATGAATACATGAGATGTACAAATGACCTATGCTCACATGGGACGTTCATAAGGATCCACATACAGATGGCTCATGAGATGTACAGATGACCCATAAATATATGGGACGTTTACAGAACATATAGTAGATATCACATGATACTAAGGATGCCACAAATACATTTAAGAAAAATTGGACAATCATTCATTCATACAAAAAATAATAGTTCAGAAAATAGAGTATCACATCATTCAAAAAATACATATAATTGAAAATAGCTTTACAAAGTTGTTACTCACAAATAGCTCCAATAGAAGAACAGACGAGTCAGACAGATCAAACTGTCTATGGCACGTGATCTACACAAGTACATAACGGAAACACATTGAAGTACATGCTCGAAAAACTCTTAACTTATTTCTTTTCTATCTTGGTGTGTTTATAATCCTTATCCTCATTATTATGTCTTAATTGAGGCTTATGAATGCCTAGGATGCAATGAGGATGTCAAAATGTACTTTTAAATACTTAATCAAATCTCAAAAAATAAGAGAGTTCGCTCAAGCGCAATTTAGTTCTCTTGAGCGGACCTCTAGTTCAGCAAAACTTTCGGGAGCTTGCATTTTATGCTCGAGCATACATCTTGGTAGCTCAAGCCAAAGTCCAAAACAAAGGGTTTTCGCTCGAGCGCAGATTCTGTCGCTTGAGCAAAGGCTCATGTTTGCAAAACTTCTGAGAGCTTGCATTCTTCGCTCGAGCGAAGATTTCACCACTCGAGTGGAAAGTGCAAATTCTAGAATTTCCATATTGCTCACCAAGCTTCAATCAAAACTCAATTCCAAGCATTAAAACACATTCTTTTGGGCCAAAACTTTAGAAAACACTTGTAAATTTGTAAACCATCATGAATTAAAGATTATTTCGCAAAATCAAAGCTCCAAAAGAAAGTCAATTGTTCAAAACCAAACTTAAAAGTTTATATATATATCATGCATTCATGAACTTGAAGTCTTTGCTTACAAAATTTGTACAAATGGCATAATGAGAGATGAATCATGTTAAACCTTCAAAATTATGCAAGTCTAGGCCCATGCATGTAAACACGAGATGGAATTTCAACTCAAATTTCGTGAATTATGCATGCTATGCATGGATCATGCTCAACTCTATTTCCTTTACTTAATTCTTATGTTAATTCATCCAATTCTCTAGAATTCTTGCATTAGGTAGCTCAAATACGAGGGTTGAGAGTTGAATTCCTACCTTAAACCTTGATTTAGCAAGTATTGAAACTAAATTATCTCAATTCCTTCTAGTTCTCTTCAATTACCAAGTAATTCTCTTCCCTAAGCTTGAATTCAAGCACTCCTTTGTTCCTCTCTCTCTCTCTCCCTCATGTTTTGTTGAGCTCACATAAGGATGAAGTATGTAGAATGTTCTTGACTCAAGCCTTATATAGGCTTCATTAAGATAAGTTAATCACACTTGATTATTCCTAATTAATTTTATTTAATTTATTCTAATTATTTGGTTTCGAATTGAATTTCAATTAAACCTACCATAAATTCTTAAAAATCCTAAATTACATATAAATCCAAACAATTTTATATTCGGTGACCAATAAGGCGTTCAATTAGCAGAACAAAGCAGAATCTTGAACGAATATTTCTATGATAGACAAATATAAACACAAATAACACATAACACATGCATTTACCTCAGAATTCCTTCTTAATTACTCATCAGGCATTCCTAATCATGATTTATTTGTTAATCTTAGATCAGAGTCGTTACAGTATTGTGAATAGTGTGGGTAATTCACTAATAGTTTTATCTCGCTGCTAGGAATTATTTGAAAACATCAATGGAGGCACGTGATTCACCTACATTATTCACGAATTCGGTTTAAGCGTAAAAAGTATGCCCGAATTGGTTTATTTCTTCTATCTATTGTTTCTTATTTTTTCTACATTAATATTAGAGCTATTAGTGGGTGTTTTTGTATTATTACATGAATATATGTATAGATATGATTTGTACAAAAAAATTGATGTTTTTTGAACCGTCTCTGATTGTCCTAAATGTTTTATATGTTGTAGTCCATATAATATAGAGCATATCTGCAATCGATTTTTGAGAAAAATGGAGATCCATATTTAATTTTCGTAACTTTGACTGTATGCTGGTTTTACATGCTTTGTTTTCATATTGTGAAAATTATATATTTAAAATCCTTATTTCGAGACCTTCGCAACGAAATATTATGAACCTGATTTCGACTTACGGTTGAGAAGAAAACTCAAACCCTAGTTTTGAGTAAGAGTTGTAGCCATTGGAGAAAAAGACAAAATTGCCCACAATGATGTCAGTGTGACATGCGCAAGGATGTCATTGTGACACGCTGCGAGCCGCGCACTGAGTCGAGCCGCAAAAGGTGTTGCTGTTTGTAGTTGTGTTAAGACCTTATTTGTTTGTTTTTACTTCAAAACTACGTTAATTGTTTCTATATTATTCATTATAATTTTGATTGAAGCATGGCTATATTGTTGGACTCATAATTAATTTTTCTACAAGATATTAAAGTTTCAATATTTTAAAATTTTATGGAAAATAAAATATTTTTCATTAATGAATAATTCAATATTTTTATGTTAAATTGCTATTGGGGAAACATGACTTAGATTCTAGACTTGGAATTTTTGGAATAGACTACTGTTATATAATCTTATTCACTGGTATGATTGTTGTATTTTTTTTCAAATTCTGTAATATTTATTTTTGATTTTCTACTACATCTTTCTAAGACATTACTTGGTTACAACAAGATGGATTAAGTCCAAAACAATTTAAGAAGCCCGAGACTTGTACAAAATATAATTACAACAAAATAAATAAAAATGAACCTTCAGCTCCATAATTCTTCTAAGCTAAATCTTTGGTAGAGACATATCATCAGTACCTGAAAATTGTTGATGGGTACTTAATTGTTACACATTTAACCCTCTTCTATCTCTCTCCCCCATAAACATCTCCCTTTCGCTGATGGTGGGAATGAATGATGGTGGCAGTACGATAAGCAATAGTGGTGAACAAGTAGCGATTGTGAGCGATGTAGGGTGGCACTGATTAATGGTGGTAGTGGCGATAGGAGGTAGTCAACTCTAGTGGAGGTTGGATTCTATGTCCTTTGATTCGACACAATAATTTGCTTCATCTCATTTTCAACCAAAACAAAACAATGAAAAGAGATGATTAAGTGATATTGTGTCGAATCATAATCTATAAAGCCAAGCAACACTACCACAAAAGTGATTTATTGCGCCTAGTTTTTTGCGACCAATTATTAACGGTCGCAAAACATAATATTTGCAATAGCAAACTAGAATCTTCCTTTTATTAATTTTGCCCATTTCTTATACCTAGCCCCTAACCCTTTTCACTTTTACTTTTCCAACAAACAGATCTCTCTCTCTCTCTCACTAAGATTGTGATGAGAAGAAGCAGTCAACAATGCCGGAGCTGCTAGGGTTTGATTATCAGAACCAGCCGAGATCATCCGCATTTAGACCTCGAGACCCCAGCCCCGATTTCGTCATCTTCACCGTCGAATCCAACTTCAGCCTCTTCTCTTTCGTTTCTGGTAGCATCGATCGTTGCTCCTTTGCGTCCAATGTTCACGATCACGATGCTTTCGTCTCCCAACACACTCAGGTTCCCTTTCTTTCTTTCTTTTTTTCATTTCAATTTTGTCTTCCAAAAAAAAAAAAGATTGAGTTTGTTTTTTGATTGATTGGTTGTTCCTTTGAGTTGAATGTTGAATTGGAAATCAAGCAATATCAGTAACTTCATAACATGCATGCATTGTTGGATTGGTATTCACTTTTGCCGACTATATTGAGATTGTTATTATTTCTGAAATTATGGAAAACGATCTATTGTTCAATGCGATGAATTAGATTTTCAGCACTAGAATTTGAAACAGAGCTGCTACAGGGCTCAAAATTTTCAAGCTCGAATTTTCCCCGAATCCAAAACGACGTTGTTTTGGAATATATATATATATATATATATATTTCTTTTCTTTTTTCTTTCTCACTCTCTCTCTTGAAGAAGAAGAAGAAGAAGAAGAAGAAGAAGAAAAGAGAAGAGGATCAACTCCAGAAAAACAACAACATCTTGCTTGGGAAGTTTGGACTGCATAAACACATCATCAACATCTTCATCAACACATATTCTGGCTTATTTTGCACTTGGGAAGTCTGGACTGCATATTTTGGCTTAATTTTTTTTTTCCCAAGAAGACTGAACTGCATAACTTTTTGCTTTTTGTTTATTAATATAATTGTTTCCCATGTTTTCAAAAAATTTAAAAAAAAAAAAAAACAACAACAACATCAACATCATCTTCATCAACACATCATCATCATCAACAACAACATCTTCATCAACATCATCATCATCAGCAAAAAAAAAAAAAAAAGAATCAGATCCGATTCAGATTCAACTCCAGCTCCGATCACCGCCATCACCGTCTTCTCTTCCTCCTCCGCCATCACCGTCTTCTTCTCTTCCTCCTCCTCCTTCTCCTTCTCCCCATCTTTTCTCCTTCTTCTCTCTTCCTCTTCTCTTCTCTCCTTGCTCTCTCTCGCCTCTGTCGATGTTCAAAAACAAGAAAAGGAAGAAAAAGAAAAGAAAGCAAGAAAATGAAGAAAAAGAAAAAGGAAAAAAGTAAATAAATAAAACCAAAAAGGACGTTGTTTTGAGTTTTGAGTCAATCAAGCCAACCGATTTCGAGCTCTCAAACAATTTGAAATTTGAAATTTGTCGATTTCGAAGAGTAAAAAAAACTTCGATTTGATCCAGCATTTGGCAGGACATGATCTGCAGGAGACTTCGAGTGGTCTAGATTCAAATCCAAACAAGTCCACAGGACACAGAAAGAGTCGCCTAATTAGAAAAGTAGAAAAAGAAAAAGGTAATCTACAGCTCACTTTTAAGATTAAACAAGGAAACGACAGTATGAACTCTCTCAACCTCTCAATCTCGTTCTCTATCTCTCTCGGTCTCTCTCAACCTCGCTTTCTCTGTTTTTCAATCTCGGGCTCTCTCTCTTTATAGTTCTTTTGAAATCTCTATTTTTCATTCATTGTCACTCAGATCACTCCTTGGATTGTCCAGAATGATCTCTCTAGAACAACACAAAATCAACATTCACAAAATCAACATTTTCAGGTATTTCCTTGGATTAATCTCTAGCATTTTCAGGTATTTCCTTGGATTAATCACTTAATCAGATGCAATAAATAATTATGAAATATTCAGTTTCCATTTGCCAATTGCTTTTTTGGGAAAACAAGTATTTTATTATTTTTATTATGATTTTTTTGCAATTAAAATTTTAAGTATGAAGGATATTTTTTACGTTGTTATTTCAAATCTATTCTGGTAAAGCTTTGAAATTTGGTGTCTAAACTTTTAAATCTAAATTTGAGTGATTCCATGTGAATGATAGTGTCAATTCTTTTCATTTTATATATACTAGTGGGTGGCACACACGATGTGTGTGCAATTTAAATAAATAGGAATAAAAGAAAATAATAATGAAATTAATATTATAATGTGTACCTAGCGTAAGTGGTACGAGTCCTCGTACTTAAACCTATGGTCATGGGTTCAAGCCTTGCCCATCTCTTTGTTTAACTTTTTTTAAAAGAATAAAAACATTGCCACATGGCATGAGGAGAGTAAAGCTTCAGGACACCATAAGAGGTGTTCACTTTATAATAGTATAGATAGATGTATATATATATATAATCCAAAGATAGTGTCAACTCTTTTGTTTAGAAATTCCGAAGATAGTAATTCTCTAAAATCATATAGGTTTGTTTTTTGGGGGTCTTAGATTACAGAATCCCTATATTTAACATTTTAAAGGATTTTTGGTATCTGAAATCCATACCCACTAAAAAATTATCATTTCATGAAGAGAAATTGGCTTCATAATTAAATTGGATAAATAAATAAATAAATAACTACAAATAAGAAGAGATGAATTTGATGACTTGGGAGTGAACATAGCAAAAATTCATGTTGTTAGTGGTGACTCCATTGAAGGAGGTGTTGAAGGCTGTTTTGTGAGTGGATTTTGAAATTGACTCAAAGCTAGTGTACCTCTCTATTCGTTTCAACTAACTTTAATATGTAGAAAGCACTTTGATTTCTTCAACTCTGAATCTGTTCTCACTGTTTGGTCTGAACTTGGTCGTTGATTTTCCCATCTACATTCCATCTCTCTCTTGCTCTGTATTTCATGACACATATGTACACCCAAGAAGTATTTCACTCCCTGTACTTTTGGTTATGTGCTATTATGCTTGAATGTTCTTTCTTTCTTTCTTTATATCTAATTTGGATTTGCAGATTCTAACAGTTTGTGGAATTACTCTCTCTATCTCTCTTTCTCCACCTTAAAATTTTAATTTCAGTTCAACTTTTTTACTATTAGATCAGCAATTTCAATATTTTAAGCTTACCAGTATTGGTAATGAGTTTTTGATAGTCATAAAACATTTTTTTCCCTGGGTCAGTTTAGTGAAAAGGTAGATCTTTTGTGCAGTTGATTAAGATTACACCATAATGGTAATGGGATAATTTAATTGCCTAGTATGAATCTTTTAACATTTTTGATTTATTATCCATCTCACGAGCAGGTGGGATAACTTGGTGTTTTGGTAAAGAGTATATTCACTTGCATTATTATGGAAATTTTAGGCATCACATGACCATTAATTTGTTATTAATGTAGCATTTTTCAGGTTTTTATTTTTTTGGTCAAATTGATGAAATGAAATATATGAAGCTTGACACTTCATCTGTCGATTTTTTGTTTCGGATGCTAGTTGATGATATTGGTGATGTAACAATTACTGATGATGGTGCTATAATACTCAAGATGTTAGATGTTGAGTATCTTGCTGCAAAGGTGGAAGAATAAAGCATCCATTTGGCTGAGCTTCAAGACCGAGAAGTTGGAAATGAGACAACTTCTGTGATTATTATATCAGTCAAGTGATCCAGCAGATAATGATGCATGGAAAGATAAAGGCACTGGTCAGCTTTCTATCAAATGTAAAGAGGGTGTTAACAAGGGCACAAGACAATTCAAGCCAACAATTCTTGTTTGAAATGATGTATCTTTCTTCTAACTGTTTTTGCTCCTTGAAGTTGAGTTCAGTTTGAAATCTTAAGTTTGTAATGCATCTCTGATATTCTTTAGTTCTTTTTAGTGCAGTACCTTACCTTTCTATGCATAAATCTATGAAGGTGCCATCAACTCCTAACTTTTGTTTAATTGGTTGATTTTTTGAATATTGATTAAATTTATTTAGGGGATATAGGTAGTTGTTAATGGATCTATGGAACATGAGTTTCATATGATATTGATATATTTTTATTACAGAGAAGATTCCAATATTTACCATGAAACAACTAAATATTATGCTGGTTCCTTTAGTTAAACAAAAATTTCTTTGTTTGATATTTTGAATTATCTTCTGGCTACATTAAACAATTAAATAGTTATCATGAAAAATTAAAAACTGAAAAAGGAACTGCTTGCCTTTTTACTTTTTATCTTAAAAGAAATTTTGTTATTCATGTAAGAGTGTGGTATTTTTTTTTTTTTTTTTAATCTAGGTTGCTCATGTTTTGTATTCAAATTATTCTGTTCAAGTAACCATTGTGGTTTCATAGGAACATCACCATAATCATCAAATAAACTCCTGATAATAATTGAAATTGTAGTAGGTATCTTGGGTATGCGGACTTACAAATGCAATAAAAAGCCTCATTCGGGAGATCCAAATCCTTAAAGAGAAAACATATGTCAATGCTTTGTTCACCATGTCATCATAATGTTAAACCATTAATCCTCCATTGAAGCTTGTTTTTATATCAAATATATCCTTGTTTGTGATAGCACCTTTGCAAGTTTAGTGCTTGAGAGAATGGTTTCCCTGATTTTTCTATGTTATATATGTTTTTTTTCTTGCTCTTTTTGGTTTTTATTCTACTTTCTACTACCATATGTCATATGGTTAGAAAAATCCTGCACTCTTGTTAGGTTTGCTTTCATCTGAATTTTTTTATTTTTTTGGAACTACACGCCATCCATAAAATTTTATTTAGTTGCCCCAATTTAGTATACTAACATGCCACCTTAACTTAATGTTTCCAAAATGATTTTTTACCAAGAATGCTAACCCCTTGGAACATATATTTAAATTGTTTTTCTGGTGAGCTGTGTTCCTTTTGTATGATGACTTTGAGAAGCCTTTGAATCGTTGTTTTACTTTGACTGTTATCTCTTTAACTAGGCCTTAATTCTTTGGACAACTGGCCCTGCTCATTATTTCCTTTTTATGAAAAAATTTCATATTGAGACTTTCCAATTCATTTTGCTCTTTGTTTTCGTAAGCCCAAAAAATGTCGATGACTAGAGAAAGAAAATTGTTGAGGTTTGATCTTCTGCTTGGGAAATTTCAGAGGCAGCAAAAAGCATTTCTGAGTAAATTGGATTATAACAAGAATTATTTTGTTCTAATCCAACACTTTTTCCTTTTTTTTTTTTTTTTACTTTCTCCTTTTGTTTTTTTTAGCCCAGTTGAACGGCTCTAAAGAACATTAAGAGTTTCAAGCACAAGAAATGACAGAAAAAAATTAGAAATTCACTTGGTTGAGTTTATTTTTTAGTTTCTTGTTGATAGAATTCACTTGGATTTGATTTGTTAATGTGGTCAAATTTTTTGAAAGATCATAAATCATAATGATGCACTATTTATAAATGTCATTGAAAACTATTTGCGACAGTGATAAGACAGTTGCTAAAACTCTTTTCCTTTTTTTTTTCTTTTTTTTTTTTTGCGATGGCAAAACATCAGTTGCCATAAGTAGGTTAGGCGGTCACAAACAGTTTGCGACTGCTGTTTTGCAGTTGCAAAAAGTATTTGCCACCCCCCACATTTGCCACCCCCATTTGCTGTCACATGGGCCGTTGTAAAGTCTTTTGCGACTGTATTTTTATTATTAGCGATGGTTTGTAACGGTCGCAAAAAATATTTTTTTTTAAGTAGTGCAAGTTGAGTCAGCATGCAAGACAGAGAGACACACTACCTATAAGCCAACACCCAAAAGCATAGATATGAAACATAATTCATTGAGCTGATAATCTGATACAATGAACTGGCAGAGTAGCCATATAAGAGGGGCAAAGGTGAGCCTTGTGTTACAGCATGACAGAAATAAAATGCTTCACATTGGTCAAACAAATATAAAGAAATGTATTAAAATTCAACGTTATAACAGGCCTGGTTTTTAATCTGTGTTCAATTTGAAGTACATCTAATTCTATGAGAGCGAATTTTGAATATTCAACTCACAAGATTGACTGCCAGAGTCCAAAAACTTCATGAGACAGTTAGGTTACCATGATACCAGAGTTTATGGAAAGCTTTAGACTTGGGGAATTTGAAACAATGATTCTGCAAAAACCAATTTCCACTCTCAATAAAACTTTTCAGAAAGACACAGGAGGTTCCACTTCAATCAAGCAGTGGCTAAATCTTGGTAAGACCCGACTGCTAGGTCCAATTTGCAATGTTGCACTTCAGGACACATGGTTACACTTTATCATGGAAGCTAAATTCAAGGCACTTTTCTGTCCTTGTCAAATAAAAATAAACAAGAAGACAAGGACTAGGTAATGGGCATCTTCTATCAGAAGGGATATATTTAAAATTTAATTAAAAAATGGATCTCCTTGTCAATACCAAGAAGCAAGTTGCACAACTATTGTATGATCATATTTTGACTCTCAGAATATATATGATGTATTTTAAGCAACTCTTACCATGTTTATACAAAAAACCCATTTATAATACATATGCAACATGCATAATGACATACTAACAACTTCAAAACAAATATGTCATAGCATACATGATGAGGAAGAACCATTGAAAGTCTTTAAGGAAAACTGTATACCTCTTTTTTCTTGCATTCCTTGTAAATGTCAAACTGTTCTTGACATTTACTCTTGTCCGAGTTAGATTCTTCTAAACCTGGAAAGTTTGCTTCAAAAATTAATATTTAGCCAAACATGCAAGAGAAAAGCAGGGAAAAAAATATATTTCAAGAATGGCTATACAAGATGGGCTCCAAAGTAAGACTAGTCCTAAATTCTAACCATTTTCAGATTGAAAATAAATTAGGTAGAACATTATCAAAAATTTTATTTATCCCTAGATTTCAAAAAGTTATACCAATTATGAGTACTAATCACTTCACAATTTAATTTATTAAATTGCAACTCATATAATGCAATAGTTTAGCCTTCAAATTTTGTACATATCACAAATGATTTATTAGGATGGCAAAGGGGTTCATGAACCAATTATTGTGCCCTTAGTTGAACGGGTTTAAGCGTCATATTGGGGTGAAGCAGTTTTTGAAGAATATTATAGGACTTGAGTTGGGACAAGGCAAGATTGATTTTAGTGCAGTCTGTGCAGCCTAACCCCACCCTAAGACACTACTCATTAGGATACAGAAACCTAGCAGTATTGTCGCTCAAGACTTCAGTTCCTATATCGAGAATAAAGGAAGGGAATGAAATAATAAAAGAGAGGTTAGGAGTGCCATCATTCATAACATAACTGATATAATCTTGCCGGAACATGGAGCCACAAACCAACCTCCTTCTTTGACATCTCCTATGACTATAACATGATATCAAAATTTTCTACAATAAATTTAACCTAATACCAAATAGCTATAAGTTAATATTAAAAGAATCAAGTGAGAAAGTAATGAAAGCTTGTCAATAAACAAAAAGTAATAAAAGTTTGAGAGAGAGAGAGAGAGAAGTGAGCTCATTTAATCTTGATGGCAACTCAAGTCTTGTAGAACGTGAAGGATAGGCATTCAAACATGTAGATCTAAGCTTGTTGCATAAGTTCTATGTGTGTGTGTGTGTGTGATTTTAACAGCTAGAAAAAAGAAAAATTAAAAAATGGCCCTCTATACAAAATCTTAAAAAATAGAAGTGCAACAATCATAACAGTGATGTAACAGCAATGTAATAGCCGTTGATGGTGGCAACTGTTGCTACTGTGAATTTCTATCACACTGCTATAGTAGCCATAGCGGGTAGTAGCAACCACCAAAACCGTTACATAACAGTTGCGACCATTTTTTAAAACCATGGCTCCACCACAACATCTATGACACAAAAAGGTAGGAAGGAGATGACGGGTTACTTATCATAAAACTATGGACCAATTAAAAAATAGAGGTTTTTGCCTACAAGAGATCATAAAGGAGGCAGGTCATTTATACTCTAGACAAGCAATACTATTTGAACATGCTAGTTTTCCATATTTCTTGGTTATTAGCGTTTCATCCTCTGCATAAAATTGTGAAAAAAGCTGGTTTTCTTTACAATCCAAAAAGACAAAAGTGTCTAGTGATTCCAGTTTTCTAAGTCTCATGGTTTGTGCCTCAAAGCAAAAAGCAGACTCTCGAACTCAATATACCTTACATAACTTGAGACAATGATAATCATGTAAACTTCTCTGATAATAAAATTGAACACACCTGATAAAGTCAGCCTAAGAGCGTGTTTCGATGTCCAATATAACTTCGATGCCTCATTGAACTTTTACATGGTATCTCATAGTGGAACTCTATGGTATAAAACGGCAAGCCATTTACAAATGAGATTCAAGTTTTTTTGGTCTTTTATTTGAAGTTATAACAATTTTGTTAACTTTCATGATCAATTTTTTTTACTTCAAATAGGCCCTTGAAATTGACGGTTGCGAACTCCATTGACAATTATAAATCTAATCAATTGCACTCACAAAAAACCTAAATTTAGCATAAACATAAATCATAGCTCACAATAGTCAACATCAAATAATCACAAAACAAACAAACAAACAAATCCACAACAACGATATCTAGATTATCAATTCCATTCATAATTAGGGTTTAAACGAACTAATAGGAGGGAGAGAGAGACAGAGAGAGAGTACATTTGAGAGAAGCAGTGTATTGAGGGTAACATTGAGAATCAGCGATCCTAGAAGCACTTGGATAAGGCGGTGATTGAGTTCTCGAAGACGCCATAGCTTTCTGTCTCTGTGCGTGCCTTCTCGGGAAGATCGATGTAAAAATGGGTCCGGTTCGGAATCCGTCGGTAAGTCGGTTAACTCAGGTTCGGGTTTTAACCTGACTTGACGGGGCGGTCTCATTAGGCCCGATTATTAATAATGACTTTTTTAACTTTAAAATATTTTTTAAAAAAAATAAAAACACAAATTTTATTCATTTTACTATCACATAACATAAAATTTTGAGAAAATTGTAAAGCTTCGTTTGGCTATCCCAGTTGAAACTAAAAAAAATACAAAAGATAAAATAAGTTAATTAGACAAATGGTTGTTTTGGAAAGTAGATTAAAAATTAATTTTTTTGGTTTTTCTTTTTATTTTTTTAAAAAATGTGTAAAAAAATGAAAGAGGCGATGTAACCTAAAAGAGAGTAAAAGTCAAAAAGTTACTTTTAACTTTTTTTATCAAAAGAAGTCAAAATATCACATCCAAACTATAATCATTTTACTAAAAAATCAAAAAAAATTTGCTAAATTAATTTTTTAACTCCAAACTAAAAAAGTCTCAACTCCAAAAAGTCAACTAAAATTTTGTTTACCAAACAACAACTACTACTATTTAGGTTTAAAGAAAATACAGTATATCCTATAATTTTAACAAAATTTTCAATTTGTTAGTCATATGAGCAAAAAAATAATATTGTCATATATTTTATAGTTAAATATACATATATATGTATTTTCTTCTTATTTATACTTATATTTTTATACTATTTGTATTAATTTTAATTTATTTGACATACTAAAAAGGATGTGAGTATATTTATGCAAAAATTATGAAAGTACTTATATGTTTTCTAAATCTCTCAGTGTAATTTATCTCAAAATTTTAAAACCATTATTTTTAATCACTATTAATAATAGTTACATCAAATCATGAAACATCAACAATGTCAAAAGTTATATTGTTTGGAACTGTAATAAAAATAAAAATAAAAATAAAAAGTCTTATTTTTTTAAAATTTTGAGACATTTATTTATAAATTTCTCTTTGCCTACTTATGTTTCACTTAGTCTAAATTATTTTTTTATATTCCAATAAGTAGTATGGGTGTCATAATTACCAAATTACCCCTAATAATAATATTCACATAGATAATGTGAATATTTCGTGATGTGAATATTCATGCTTCAATATGAATGTTTACACCGTCAATGTGAACATTCACATTGTAAAATATAAATGTTTGCATCACCAAATTACTACACGTTAAAAAAATTATTATAAAGGTAAAATTATTCATAAAATACCTTAAATACAATAATTAAGATTTTGTGGATCAAATGTTTAAATAATAAAATTTAGTAGAATATTAAAATATGTTATGAACTAATTGGAGAATAAGTACTTAAAAAAAATCCTAATAACTCTCCCTTTTTATCTTAGTTTTGAGGATGCAATAACTTCAATGGAGGATGGGTCGGACCGATCCACGCTTCTCGCAAGTCTACTGGCCTTGGTGTCCTCAAAGCGTGCTTGCAAAAAGGTCCAAAGGGGGGGTAGTCCCCCAACAGACACTCCGATGATCAAGTTAGATTAAAGCAGATTGATTTGAGAGAGAGAGAGAAGCAAGGGGTAAAAAACTTAATCTCGACGTATCTCGAAAGTTTCCTTATATCCTTTGTTAATCATTTCCTTGTCCATTCCAAGCTGTCTTGTTGGCCGAAAGTCTATGGCCTAGTTAACATCGTTCATGGTGAGTCTGTATCTTCCGACATGAAGGGGTTGCCGCATTTAATGTTATGAGAACCTCATTAAATGGCTGATGTGTGGATGCAATAACTTTGCAAGATCTCTGTCTGCTTACGTGGCTAATTCCCTACCTGACAAGTGTTTGAATGCTATTGGTCTTGGTCCAACATTGGCTTCTCAAAGTTATTGGACTTTAATACCTAGGTCGTGAGCTAGGCCCTGAGTCGCGGGCTGGGCCCTCTTGGGTGCCCATTAGTATTAGTAGTCCCTCATTCCCAAGTGCAGCTTTAGTCCAACGAAGGGAATAGGAAACAAGATCGTAGTCCCCCAAGAGGCGAAAGAGAAGACCAATGGTGGGTGTGATAGTTGACGACTGGGAGCGAGGGGGCGTGATTTGGTGGCCAACCGAGGATGTGACTGTCACAACCCCATTCCGCCCCTAGTAGAATGGTGCCATGATGGTTAGTAATCCGAGATTACCGAAGGCCAACTTTCAAGATTCACACACAATCAGAGTACACATATGGGGCTTACAAATGCGGAAGCAATAAATTTCAAGCTAAGTAGTCCATAAGAGCAGTACATAAGTTTAAATGGAATGGCATACATCTTTACATAGCTTAAATACAACAAATGGAGTACAAAAATACATCTTGACCAAAAGGCTTCTCAGCCATCAAATACAAAATACAATGAAATACAACTAAGAAGCCCCCTAGCACGTACGGACTTTTAAGATTGTGCTACAAATGCTTTTAGTCCCCTAGCACGTACGGACTTTTAAGATTGTGCTACAAATGCTTTTAGTCCCCTAGCACGTACGGACTTTTAAGATTGTGCTACAAATGCTTTTAGTCCCCTAGCACGTACGGACTTTTAAGATTGTGCTACAAATGCTTTTAGTCCCCTAGCACGTACGGACTTTTAAGATTGTGCTACAAATGCTTTTAGTCCCCTAGCACGTACGGACTTTTAAGATTGTGCTACAAATGCTTTTAGTCCCCTAGCACGTACGGACTTTTAAGATTGTGCTACAAATGCTTTTAGTCCCCTAGCACGTACGGACTTTTCGAGATTGTGCTACAAATGCTTATAGTCCTTTAGCACGTACGGACTTTTCAAGATTGTCATTCAAAACAAGGCTAATACTTGGTATACAAAATAGGGATCATCATTCATGCTTCACAAAATACTTTTCCAAAACAAGCAAAGCAAAACTTTATCAAAACTTAATAACATAACTTTATTAAAAATACCACTCACATAGTTCTTCAGACGTCGGGGTCAAGGCAAGTCCAAGTCCTACAAACACATGGCAAAGTCTGTTGAATGTACTTTCAAACAAGTTCACATGCATACAGATGATCTCGGCATCCTTCGAAACCAAGCTAAATCAAAACAAAACATTGTTTCTCATCTCGGGAAACATGCTGGGTGATTACCAAGTCTAGGCCGAGGTCCCACACCTCCTTGCCGAGGTGTCGCCTCGATGGCCACATTCAAGGAAATGAGGTCGGGAAAATCTGGGTTTCCCTCTCTTGAAGAACATGTCGAACATGAAGAACATGAACATGAGGAGGATGAATGCAAGATCATAATTTGCTATTACAAAATCTGAGATTTCATGCTATGAATTCAAATACATAGACCTGGGTACCCATATTCAAGGATCTTGCGAGAACGAACACAAAACATGAATCTTAAGGCAAACTTTCAGATCAAACAAGACTTTTCTTCCAAAAACACATGAAAACCATTTTCTCTTTCTAAAACCAATGCATAACATGCAGAACAGGTTCAATCGTGCAATACAACTGGATGATCAATAAGAACGACAAGAGTGAATCAAGAATCTGACCTCAATACACGAATCTAATGGTTTGATCTCCAGAAATCAAGCTCGAAAGTCTACTCTCTCACTCTAAGACTTCTTCTTCTTCCTAGAGCCTCTCTCTCTACAAGGCAAAGATGTAATACAAAAATGTATATTTTCTAGGTCTGTCGGCTGACTTAACACTCAGCTGGGACACGTGGCACTACTGGGTTGGTTCTCCTCAAAAGGTGGCTGAGTGAAAAGACAAGACTATAACAAAGTGTGTTCAACAAGCAAGATGGCATGGGCACTCTGGCGGGTAATGATCTCGGCTAAGAACAAGACATCGGCAAGTAAGGGAACAATGATCTCGGTTAGGAAGGACAACACTTGACTAAGCTGTGCCACACCTTGGCCTAGATGTGCCACACCTCGGTCTAGGTCATACCACTCTAGGACAAGATCACCTAGGTGCAAAGGTGACATCTCGGCCCAGATAACACACATCTCGGCCTTGGTGATGAACACCTCGGCCTAGATAATGACATCTCGGCCAATATGTCAGGGCGAAGGTAGAGGTCAAACAAAGTGGTTCCAAGGAAATTCTAGACTAAAGATATCCTCGGCTAAACTCACATCAAGCAGGGTACAAAACATGCAAGAAACTCTTAAGCAAATCAAATCAAGGTTTGCAAAATGCAACATATCAAGACAAGATCATGTAATATATGCAAGCATGACTAGAGTAGAGTGAGGGTCGTTACAGTGACCGACTAGCAAGGAAGGGAGCTGACCAGTGTGGTGGTCGACCAACTAGTGTGGTAGCCAACCGTTGAAGAAAGTGGCCGACTGGTGTGGTGGCCGACCGACGAGGACGGTGATCGACTGGTGTGGTGGCCGACCGACGAGGACGGTGATCGACTGGTGTGGTGGCCGACTGCTGAAGTGAGCGATCTTCGAGGAAAAGGAGCCGACCGGTGTAGAGGTCGACTAACCAGCGTGAGGGCTGACCATTAAGGAAGATGAGCCAACCGGTGTGCTTGGCGACCGACTGGGGTAGAAGCCGACCATCCAACATTTATGTGCACGGGGCTCGAGGTACTTGAAAACACATGATGTGAAATGGAATAGATGGGGGGAGGAACGAGAATTAGTAAGAGGGAGGAGGGATCGTGGCTATACACATGGAGCAATCTGGGCCACTGGTAAGGGGTGTTGAAGCGGTAGCAGGGAGTGGAGGGGTTGTATAGGGAGAGGCGTTAGAAATGCGGAGGTTTTAACTTGGTGGATTTTCAAACTGGCAAATTTTAACCACAATCCTTGGAACACAGGTAAACCCTGGGCATTCGAACTTATGCACTTTTCTTACTTGATTACGAAAAATCAGCATTCCAGACTTCAACTCCTATATCTCGTTTGATTCTCCCCTCCTTCACATCGCAAATTTCTTTACCCCCACAACCAAAGCAATATATAGAAACGTGAAGGAGATGGCACAAGACAAAGCGCTGGCCATGGCATCTGATGCATTAGGAGA